TTTGTATTCTTCTTTTTTTTTTTTTTTTTTTTTTTTTTTTTTTTTTTTTTTTTGAGTCTCAGGCAAGTCATTTTGCAGAAAGTTATCTTTAATATCTATGCTAAATAAATAACATTTATACACAAGATAAAGCCATCATAAGTTTTATCCAAATAAAATTTACAGAGGTGCATCTACTATTCAAATTCTAAAATCCAGCATCTGCAATATTTAAAAAATCATCTTGATTAAATTTTCAAGTTCAATTATCCTCCTTAAATAATTTCCAATTCTATATTGGACAAAACAGATACAAATGCATTTGTGCAAATTACTTTTAGAAACAGAGTATGGCCTAAAAATAATGTGTGAGCACAGGTTAGTCATCATTCTGCTTTAGCCATCATTGAACACAACTGTACATTTACAGGAGATACATAAACCAGATGAATCTGCCCCCAAATAGGAATAAAGTATCAAGATACCAGAGTGAAGTAAATGGATTTCCAGGAATTTAGGTAAAGACAATAACCATAAATATAATTCAAGACAAAAGATTTGTGGGGCTTACCCCTTCCCTTTCCATAGTACAGATTTTTTTTTTAAATAGAAACCTTATCTGACTTGAAGGAATAACAAAAAAATAGACACAACTTGTTTCACTCGTCCCATCACACATACAAAATAAAAATCATGCAATTTTCAAAAATTAATTTTTTCTAAATCCAAGCAACAATTTCTTTAAAACAGTAAGTTTCAAAGAGATCACAACAAAATTAAAGTTTAAATACTGCTACAATTAAGAAAAACATAGTAGTCACATGTACAAGTATAAAAATCCAAGTTGTTATGTTGTGAAATTAAAATGTTTGAGAAAACCTACTGCTTAACAATACTCCCGAGCTACAAACTAATATGTAGATTATCCTACAAGTCACATAATCAATTGCTAATTTTATTTACATTAATGTCAAGTATAACATTTGCCAATTACAAATCTACAGGTTTACTTGTTGGTAGTAGTTGAGTCTTTCCAATAGGATTTTTTGGAGAACCTTTGTACCAGACCCTTTCTCTTTCTGATGGTTTCCTAAGGACCTTATTTTTTATCCCAGGAGAAAAACCCACATTGTTATTTACAACAGATTTTAATATATTATGATTAGTCAGGTCATCAAAGGGAACCTTAATATGGCCATCCGATATCACCTCCTGCTTGCAAACTCTAGTAGACCCAAGAGAAGCATTCACAGAACCTGGGTGCCTCTTCTTCTTTAAGGAAGATGTAGAGGTTAACTCCACGCTTGATTTTGAAATTTCACCAATGACAGACTGTTCACGTAATGTAGACCTCTGATCTTTAGGAACTGACTTCATATGTGAAATAGAGGAATCTTTTGACGTACTTTCTGTACAAGAGGGAAGAGCACTGTCACAGCTCACTGATTTAACCAGGGGAGAAGCAACATCACCAAGACTTGCCAACTTCTGCTGTTTAGGTTGTCTGTCATATTCCAACAAAGAATTAATTCTTCTGACAGACTGACGGACTGGAGTGCGTTGAAACTTAAGAGGTGACTTCACTTTTATTCTACTTGGTTCATTTAAAGAAAGTTTATTAAACCACTGTATGTGATCTGAAACTTTTCCATGCTCTGTCATTTGTAAACTTTCAGAAACCGTTTTATCACATTTTTCTACAAGTGATCGTTGTTTAGCAATTCTCATAGGCCTGGGTTTAGAAAGGGCTGTTATATGACAAGTACTCTGCTGTGAGAAAGAGGATTTATCCTCTTCTTCCCTAGAAGCTGTACATTTCACTAAGTTCTCTTTGATCATGTTCTCATTCTCCTTTGATTTAGTATTTAGTTTATTTGGTGGGTACCACTGCTCCTTAATTTGTTCATCATTAGGGAATTTTTGCTCATTTAAGTAATCTTTTGAATGAATGTCTTTTTCATGTTCTACCTTTATCTCTGTTGAGTAACATTTTACAGATGCTTCCCTACCAAATTTTTGAGTTTGATATGGTGAGAGGTCTATTTCTGAAAAACAATTTTCGTCTTTACCAGTGTGGTTTTCATACTTTTCTACTGATTCTCTCACAGTCAAATCATTAGTTTTAAATAGATTTTTCTCTGGACTATACTGTATATCAGATGTTTCACTTAATTTTTCTTTCCCCACATTAGTAACTGATGACTGCCTATGATTTATCAATTCATGAAGATTACTTCCAGACTCAGAAAATGCTTTCTGAATCTTCACCAGAGTCTCTGAGGTCAAGTTATTTTCATCCCCACTAAGGGAGCTTCCTATTACACTGCTGTTAGGCTTGCTGTGTAAAGTGGAAGGGCTAAGTTCACATGATGTAGCAGGTGACTTCTCAACAGTTATATCAGGTTCCAAAGAAAAGTTTCCCACCTCAAGATTTCCCATTATTGGAGAAGCTTCATTTGCATCCATTTCTTGAAAACTTGAATTACTAGGTCCTGTCCAAGACATCTGGTAATTTGTTTCATTTAGTCGCTCAGGAGTTAATAAGTTTTCCTCAGACTTACTGATCTTTTTTGAACCTTTCTTTGGTAATCTTTCATCTATATCTGGGCTAAAAAGTAGGCCTGTTTTTACAGATTCAATCCTATTTTCTAAATTTTGTTGATTTGCAAGTCTCCGACCAACATTTTCATATCTATTGACACCAGAACATCCATTTCCATCTCTGCTATTTTTCCCCAGACTAAATTTCAAACGAAGAGATCTTCTAACCTTTTCTTTACGGCTGATTTTAGGAGAGAAGCAGCCTGCTTTTCCTGATTCCACCCTGCAGACTTTTTTGCCTGCAATCCTTTTACTTCGCCTTAGCACATCTGTGCTGGTCAAATGGTTTCCACTGATGGCTATGGGAGAGAGTGAACTCTGAGATGACACTTCTGGGCTTGCATCAAAGTGAACTGGTACTGGTGTGGAACTGCCATTGAAGAGATTATTTGGCAACAGATCAAAGTTAAAATTGTGTTTGATGGACTTCCTTTTCTTACTTGAGAAACCATGAGAAGAATCTACTGGCAGTTTACGCTTAGCATTTGGTGTAAGAATCACTGGTGATACAGACAGTTGAGCAGTTCTATCCTGCTGAGGGGTAATACAGGGTGTTCTGTTAGATTTCAATTTATTCAGTGCTCCATTAACAAAATTTCCAACACTTTGTCTTCGCCTTTTCTTATATTCACCAGGAGTTTCATATTCACCCTCTTCAAAGCCTTCCAGTGATGGAGTAGCACAGAGACCATCAATGCCCAACATAGCTGGTATCTTTTCCAGGATAAAACCTGGTACACGCCCAATATCTGATGCATAGTCAATAAGGGTTTGTACTACTGCAGCCTGCAATCTCAGTCTTTTTTCTGTGTTAGCAGACATCTTTTCATGTCCTTCACTTGTCTGGAGAAGATTTGGTGCAAATATTACTGCCAGATTGCTACTATCCATCTTATTCTCCCTGGATCTTAGAGAAACATTCCTGAGAAAGTTAAAGAAGTATCTTAATAAATCAATTGTATGATCAGCCATAAGACAGGAGAGCAACAGTGTAGCTTTATTCTTCTCCTCTGTTCCTAACTGTTGAGCTTTGAAAAGCGCTTCATGCAAATCAACAGGGAGAACTGGCTCTGGCAATTCCCTAAAGAATTGTTTAAGAAGTCCTGCAATGTCACAAGGAAGTGCAGAAGACAGGCAACCTTCACCATGATCCAGTTTATTCTTTAGTGCCTTGAGACGAATAACAGATCCTGATTTCCTAAAAAGTCCTTCTGTCTGAATATGCTCTTGTAAAGATGTGCAGGCATCAACAAGAAAGCTTGGAATGTGTCCATATTCTGGTACAACGGAATGGGGCAATGCATTAAAAGGTACTCCAAATATTTTACCCTCTACTTCCGTGGCTGCTGTTTCTTGTCTCCTGCGCTCACACTGCCCACGTCCACCCTTGACCTTAATGCCGTAAACAGCCCGAAGCTGCTGCAACAAGGCCAATCTGACCAGCCTCTTATCCCACATCCCGGATACGTCGCCCACTCTTTGAGGCAGGTTCCTGATTCTCGTTCGCCACCAAGTCTTCCAATTTCCAAACACTCTCAGGTTTGAGCTCCGCTCCGCAGCCTTCCGGCCACCTTTGGCACTCCTCCAGCCCTGGGCCCCGGCCACTTCCACGGCTTTTCCTCGATCCTCTATCCACTTACACAAACTCTCTTCAACTGGCTTCTTGATCCAGCCACACTTCACTCTTCTTTCACTTACACCTACCTTCTTTCTGAATACCAAATCCTTTCCGCTACTTACACGACCTCCCTTCTTTCTCCCTTGATCCTTTCAGTTCCTTGCACCAACGCCTATTTTCAGCTTCTCACCACTTCCGGTCACTTGCAATGATCCCCTTTCCTCCAAACTTCACTCTTCCCACTCCAGCTCTCTTGGATAATGTAAAGAAGACCGTTCCCCTAGCCACTCCAGCCCAGGCAGACGCTGCTGGGCGTTTGAGTCTCAGCTCCCGCGACCCCCTCCCCAGCCCAGCCGCCGGACCAGCCGGCTGCTCAGGCTCTTTTCCAGTCCCGGTCCCCGCCCGGGCTGGTCTCCGCCGTCACCCCGTTTCACAGGCTTCTCCTTCTCCCCATCAGCCTGCATGAAGCTCCCGGCCTGCACATCCCGGAGTGCAGACTATAACCAAGCAGCTCTCCCCATGCCTTCAAGCCGCCGCGGCCGTCACACCCGCAGTTCCAGACTCAGCTCAAATGCTGTTTGT